GCGTAACCCATTTTGGTTGCCAAAATTGGGAAGCACTTTGCAAAATGTATGGTTTTTATGAGGGTATGATTGTCACCATGGATCTTGGTGATCCTGACATCGAGCAAGACAATATGAACATTTGGGTCCTTGTTGATACGCTTCCGATTCTACCGCAATGTGAGTTTCTCAAACATAGTTATTAACTAATTTAGATTGTTTATTTCAAAATAGTTGACAGCTTATTTCCATTGACAGCTTATTTTAAATCTTCAAAGAATGTGTAGAAGATGGTAGACAAAACCCACTACACTGATGGCTCCGAATTAACTTATAAGGAAAAAAGTCATCTGATTGCTTATTGTACTTATCTTGAGAATTACAATACATATTATCAAACTCCTCCAAATTATGGTGAATACGTGCCACTAGTGCACGTGTTGAACCACGATAACTTCTATGGAGATACCCTGGTAAGATTTTTTACTATTACGACATCCATGCATCTTTTGCATACTTCTAAAACTAGTACATCTTTGCTAACTACGAAGTTATTACTATGTTTTTCAACAGAAAATCCCGATGGATTGTGTGCCTCATCTGATGTATCAGAATGGTCGCCTTGCAGTTCTGAACATACAGCCAGGTCAATCTAAGGAGCTCACATGTGCATATCAGATTTCTAAAACCGGTGAACACATGCTAATCAAAGAATGGAAAAAAATGTTTGGACATTCGCAAGGAGGTTCTTGAAAGTAACATTAAGCGAAAGGCAAGAATTAGAGACATGATAATCTCCATTCTCCATAATGGAGAGTCAGGGGCTATCTTGTTTTTTGTTATTTTACCTTAGAGAATATAGTAGGTCCTAAGAGAATGTAGTAGGTCCTATGAGGTACAATATATTTATTATGTGATACAATGTGTTAGAGTTGATGATGAGGAGTACTTGTGATTACGACTAGTGACCAATTTGCTATGTGATGTCTCATTGACGAAAACGATGAACTTGAGGAGGTGTTATATGACAATGATGTATTATGATGATAAGTTGTTAATAATATGATGATGATGATATTTATTATATCATTGGGTGAAAAAACCACGGATTAATTTCAAGTGGATGTCCATCCACTTGAAACTAGTCCATGGTTCTTTCACCCCGTGATGTAATAACTCATTATGATGTAAAACAATTTTTAAATTCCTGTTGTATGAAAACTTGTGTAAAGGTGTACGAATACAATATAAAATAAAAAAGAAATAAAATACGAAATAATAGTAGCAGCGCGGGTAGGGAGAAGCGCTACTACTAATTACCAGTAGCGCTCCTCCGGGAAGTCGCTACTACTAAGTCGATTTAGCAGTAGCATGGTCGGAGGCACGCTACTGCTATACGTTAGTTGTAGCGTCTTATCAGTAACGCATCGCCCAGCGCTACTGATAGGCCTAAAACCCGCGCTGCTGCTAGGCTTTTCTCTAGTAGTGTGTCCATTGGGTGGTTGACATCTATCCTTTCGCGGTGCTGACACGTGGTTGCTATAGCCAATGCTAATTTTACACGTGGAAAATTCTCATTGATCTCAGCTGTTAACGGGTTATCGGATCCAAACCGAAACCCGATAGCTTAACAGCGACTCATTACGATGGATGCCGCGTGCCGGTTACCCTTAAGAAAGCACTTCTATGACACGTGATTTATCGTAATGGAAGTGGACACTTCCGTGATGATAATTTTGGTAATGTCATGGAACACTTTTACGACAACACAGGTATGACTATCTTGATTCTGTCATAAAAATCTTCATGGATGTACATGCATGACAGAAAACGTGACTTATTGTGACAAACACGTATCATCACAGAAGTGTATTTTTTTGTAGTGCGGGCGGTGACATGGCGTTGATGATCGTCGACGCCAGCGTGGCTACAAGAGGCGGCGATGGCAGTTGGCGAGGGTGGCGCGGTGGTCGACGATGGCGACGCGACTGACTTCAATGGTGATTAGGTGGCGGTTATCTGACATGGCACTTTTACAGAAAGAGCCATCTTACCCTAGATGGAATGGGTGTTTTGGAGAATATACGAGACCCGTAACGTTTACGGACAACTGTTGGAGAGTTTTTTTTCGCAACTTCCTCTAAACCTTGGTTATTTTATGGATACGGAAAGTGCCAAAGATGCTCTAAGAACAGAAAAAAGCAACTCTCCCGTGCACAGGAGGTCTCATGGGTGCCTCATTTGTCCATTTGGTTGGAGATGAGCTTTGCTACACCCACGTAATATTCTTATATTTGTTTTTACAAACCTGCTGACTTGACTTATTTGATTTGAAGGGAAAAAGAGGCCCAGGCCCACCCGTTGAATTCAGGGGGCTGATTAGTCAAGGAAAAGAAACTACATAGCCTTTATTAGATACTTCTCTCTGTCTCATAATATATGACGTTTTTTGATACTACTTAGTGTGCTCTTGCCTTCTTGCCATCAGACAATCTGTAGTGCAATGGTCTGAATGTGTGCAACAGTCGAGAGCAAAATACATCTCAGTAAGATGACCCATTGACATGCCGCGGTCTAATTTATCACCTGTAAAATTAATATGCTACCTCTGTGTATGCATATAAATGGCCACATACCACACTAGGGGTAAAACAGTTTTTTTAGGTTAGACTTAACATCGTTACTGGTCAAAACTGATGGAAGTGTCACATAGGGAATAAAATAAAGTTGGAGTGTCAAAGAGAGAAGAAAATAAAATTTTGGGCCAAAAAGGAAGGCAAAATTTAAGAAAAGGCCAAATAAGGAATTCTCTTATAAAGCTAGACCTAGTTGGGGATGTATCTGGTGCACCGGATAGTTGGTGCTACCGGTGCACTGGTCGCTCATTGCACATTGATAAAATTGTTCAAAAAATCCGGAAAAAATTAGTGCATTAACACGACATCAATGTACGTTGTAACAAAAATTTAAATCGAAATTTGAAACATGGCTTGAGATACAAAAATGACAAACTTGACACTGAATAGTACATAACACAAGTTGCGCTTCGGTTTTGGCCCATTAGCACATTGATATTAAATTTGTCATTTTTGTATCTTGAGCTTTGTGTTGAATTTTGATTTGAATTTTTGTGACAACATACATTAATGTTGTGCCGATGCACTATTTTTCTCCGGATTTTTTCGAACATTTTTTACATGGGTGTAGCCTTACTACTCTCTCCGTCTTGCAATGTAAGACATTTTTTGATACTACAAGCTTCTGATAACTTCTATCTCCATCGAGTCGTTCCAGTAATGAGTCCCAATCACAGATAAACATTTAAACTACGTACACGAATCAATGAGTCACTGGTAGTGCGTACGTGATGTAGTTGAACACAGAAGCTGACACACGTACGTGCGAGCTAGCCTCAACGAAGCAGCCAAGCAGATAGCTTAATTGATCTACAATACCTAACTAGTACGTGCACTCTAGCCGTATGGACTGGCCGGCGACTTGCACACCGTAGCCTGTGGCAATCCATCTATAATTGTTTCGCGTTCGTTCTAACAAGAGAAGTCGTTATGTTCCGAGAAACGATCAGGTCGATCCACCAGAAGCTAGTCTACGGCAAAACCGCATGAGTAAAATTGCCGGCCTGCAAGCTTTGCATGTACGCTGCTGCTGCTTGAAAATCAATCAAGCTGCTTGCGTGTGCTAGCTTGCACGTACGTATTGTTTGTTTCTTGACGATACGAACTTGGGTTCTAAAAATGCACGAGAGGTGGCAGTGCCCCAGCGGCCTTGGCGCACCCACGCACGGGAGGAGGATATGCCCGACCGCTTGGCGGGCACGGGGAACTCCCAGTCGGCCCCGGCCCGGATCAGTGCCGTGTGCACTCATGCCACATGCCCCCTTTTCTTCCCTTTTCTGGTGACATGCTATCATTAGTGACAAAATTGTCTTTGCATGTCCTAGTTAACACTGCTGAATGAAAAAATAGATGAAAAGGTCACATAAGGCACAAAATGATGTTTGAGTGTCAAAAAAAGAAAAAAAATTATGAGGCCAAAAAAGGAAGCAAATTCTAAGAAAGGGCCAAATAAGAAATTCTCTCTAGCTTTATTGGTTGGAGATTCCCATGCATGCATGGTTTAGACATTGATTATTTTTGTGGGCCCAACATGCAACTTTTGACAGAGATGACATACTCCACCCATCCAACCATGTTTTTTATTTTAGTTTTCAAATTTGAATATACTGTATCTTTCCAATCAAAAGTCCAAATTAAATTTTGTTTGCATATTCTTGTTCGTTGCGACGAGAACATTCAAACTAGATCACTCTTGAATGCATTAATTTTATTAATTAGTATCAAATATTAAAACTTAATAGTCATAATATTAAGTTCTTTACCATGTTTCGTTTGTTTTAGGGTTTAGAGTTTACTATTTTAGGGTTGAGGACTTAGAGCTTATGATTGGGGGTTAGGGTTTTTATGTTTAGTATTTATAACTTGATGATTTTATCCTTCCTCATATCAAGTTCTAACAGATGAAACTTAGTGAAGAATTCTAAAACATGTCAAAACGAATTCACTAGTGCTCTTATTTGAAAGCCCTCGTCTCAAGGAGCACAAATATGCAAATGAAACATAAATTATACTTTTAGTTCAAGGGATGCAGTAGATTCAAATTTAAAAGGTAAAATAAAAGGCGTGGATGGGTGAAGCAGGTCATCTCTATCAAAAGCTTCATGCGGTGACCCCATCCAAAATAATCAATGGACTAATGCATGCACCAGAGAGAATCCATTCTCCTAAGAATAGGTACATCTTACCCTACATGTGCGGACGGAGACGAGACATCGCGCGCTGTTAGACCTCCACCTCCACTAGCTTCCACTCCAAAAATGGCGACCAGCCAGGGCCAGGCGGCCATACATTTGCCAAGACGCACTACATATACGCCAACACCATTCCGCCAGAACCTAGGAGAGGGAGACGACGATCGACGGGCTACCAGTGAGTTAGTTACCCATGGGCCGCAACATGGCGCTTCCCCTGCTCCTGGCGCTGGCGGCCCTAGTGGCGTCGCTGCCGTCGGGTTCCGTCGCGACGGCGGGGACGGCTGGTGCGTTCGACAGCTGGTTGTCGGCGAACCAGAAAGACTTCGCGATCAACCAGGCGTTGTACGCGAAGAAGGCGGTGGGTGACACCGGCAGCACCGTCGACGAGTCCCTGTCCAAGGCGGAGGATAACAAGACCACCTACGTGGTGGACCCCAAGGGCGGTGGTGACTACAAGACCATCACGGCCGCGATCGACGCCATCCCGGAGGGCAACACCGGTCGCGTAATCCTGGACCTGAAACCCGGCGAGTACCGTGAGAAGATCTTCCTCAACCTCAGCAAGCCCTACGTGACTTTCAAGTCCGATCCCAAGAACCCGGCCATCATCGCCTGGAGCGACACCGCTGCGACGCTAGGGAAAGACGGGAAGCCGGTGGGCACGGTGGGGAGCACCACCTGCGCCATCGAGTCCGACTACTTCGTGGCGTACGGCGTCGTGTTCAAGAACGACGCGCCACTGGCCAAGCCGGGGGCCAAGGGCGGGCAGGCGGTGGCGCTGCGTACGTTCGGCACCAAGCAGGCCTTCTACAACTGCACCATCGACGGCGGGCAGGACACGCTGTACGACCACAAGGGGCTGCACTACTTCAAGGACTGCGTGATCAAAGGGAGCGTGGACTTCATCTTCGGGTTTGGGAGGTCCTTGTACGAGAACTGCCGCATCGTGTCCATCGTGAAGGAGATCGCCGTTCTCACGGCGCAGCAGCGGACCAAGACCATCGAGGGCGCTATCGAGAGCGGGTTCTCATTCAAGAACTGCAGCATCATGAGCGAAGGCGGGGGGGATATCTATCTTGGCAGGGCGTGGGGGGACTCGTCGCGTGTCATCTACGCCTACACCGAGATGAGCAAGGAGGTGGTGCCAGTTGGATGGGACGGATGGAACATCAAGCAGCCTGAGAGGTAAGGTCACATCTAACATGCATGCATGGGACTCCTTTTTTACATTATGGATGGATGGAGGATCAAGCAAGTTCATTGTGGACATTCTCGCTCATGCATGTTCTTTATTAAGGGATCCCATCACTCATGTTTATCGAATGCATGCGTACGTGCGTGCAGTAGCGGGATCTACTACGGCGAGTTCAAATGCAGCGGGCCGGGGTCGGACGCGAGGAAGAGGGTCGGGTGGGCTGTGGATCTCACCGAGGCCCAGGCCAAGCCCTTCATCGGCACACACTACATCTTCGGCGACTCTTGGATTCTGCCACCGCCAACTGGGAACTCTCCTCCCTCTAAAAAAGGCTCCAGTGGAGGAGCCCCCGCCACATCTCCCGCCTCATCGCCCGAGTCGGCAGATTCAGCCTCATCGCCCGAGTCGGCGGATTCAGCCGCGTCGCCCAAGTCGGCGTCCTCAGCCTCGTCGCCCAAATCCGCCTACTCAGCTGCATCCAAGGTATGTACATGCATGTTCGAGCTACCCCGCGGCATACTTTCTTGTAGCGTTAAAAGTCCGCCCTGACAACGTTGCGGATTATTTAATTTGCAGACGAAGAAGAAAGAATTATAGAGGAAGAAGATCTGACTCTTCTTCGTGTGTTAGAGACAACGCTTCACCATCTTGCTCTGCAAGAGGCTAATTGGCTTCGATCCATCGGGCTTTAGGACCAGACAGCATGCATCCCTAGATGAGCTTATTTTCATAGTTTCTTCAGGGTCGAAATGAAACACGTACTGCTCAAGATTGAGAGATAGAGACTTCATATTTTAGATATTTCCGTATTCTCTTCTTTTTATACCTTCAAATTGTATGTACTGAAGGCAACCAGTGCACCTGATTCAACTGTTTTTAGTTTGGCGACTGTGATTCTGCCATATAGAGATATAGTACTAGTACATCGCACGTGCCATGCACGTGTAGGTTTAAGGATTATTATTCTGATGAAAAATGTTGTGCCTTCAGAGTGATTGAAGGCATTTTTGTTTAGTACATAATCATATTATTAATATATTTAACAAATAGCAAGATCAGGTAAATTCCATACGCATGTATCATACACTGATTAGAACGATCAATTAGAAGTGTATGCAAAGTATTGGTGAAACAAAGGAAAACTTGAGTCATGATATTTTATTTTTGAATAATACAATGATTGACGAAGTCATCACAGGTGACTTGCTAACACGGAAACGCCACCTCCACTGAAAGAATATTCCGTCTTAATGAGACAAACATATGTCAAACCCGAAGTTTGATCGAGTATAACCATCCAACTCGGTTCATAATTTTGTGAAACTTGTTTATAAGATAAAGTAATAATGTTGTTTAGTTACAACACATATTAAGTTCTCTTTTTTCTATCTAAAGCACTTGAATGTGAACTGTCGGAGGGTGCGTTGTTGTATGCAGTTTTTTCTCTCTCTCTCTCTCACCACGTTGCCTAGTACGTACATTAGTAGTACTTTTTTCCAGATGAATGGTGCTACACTGCTACTGGTGGGCATCACTCTCTCACGGGCACCGTGCCAGAGATTTCTTTCTAGTAGCAGTAGCAAGAGGAAGAATCACGAGCCCGCAACACTCTGACGGTAGCAGTCTCATAACACAACACAAGGGTGCCTCCCATCATGAATCCCAACGTCATGTGCCGTCAGATTACTTTATCCAATGGTCTGCATTTGGCCATGTGGTCCTTACCTAAAGCAATTGAATGTGAGCCGTTCGATCACAAAGATCCAACGGTCTATATAACTTGACACTTGTATACTATATAGGAGTATATATAATATAGTGTCAAAAGCGCTCTTGTATTATGGGACGGAGGGGGTACTTGTTTAATCACACACAAAAAATTCGTTTGCCACTATTTTTCCCTAAATGGAAGCAAGCCCTCGCCCTCTTCATCGAACTAATGCACCGTAACAGCCCAGGATCAACACTTCCCTTAGTAGTTGATTGTGCATGATGTGCATTTCATCAGCATTTGTAAGCATCCTATTATGTTTGTTAAGGGTTTAATTTGGGGTTTTTTTAAACCACAAATTATTTTTGCCAATTTTATTGAATGGTGAATATCTAAACCTTCTCCCTTTGGTCTTCTAGCCCAAGACTCACCTCCACACATTGCGCACTGCTCTTTGTAACATTTGGGAGCTCCCAAATTTTTTCACAATTTTAGCACAAGCCTAACACCTACCTCTAGATCAAACCTCTTTATTCTTTTTCTCCCCTTCTATTAAAAACTATTGCCAAAGCTTATCCGAATGGCTTGGATATTTTTGTGTGGTAATGAGACATACTAGAGAGGCCACCTATAAATTTGCACGCCATTTGGAACTCATTTGGCCCACAAAATATTTCCAAAACCTACCTTTTCTATTTTCTGTAAAAAAGGAAAATTAATTCCCAACCAGCCTCCCTCTCACCCTTTGGCCCAACCCACGAGCGCTACCTAGCTAATTCCCGCCCACATAGCACCACACAATGAAATCACTAGTAAAGGGTTACCCCTTGCCAAGGTCACCTCCACCATCTCACGCGCTAAGAAGTGACCCACTACATGTTCGTCACTTGTCGCAACCTAATAGTTGTTCCTTTTCTTTCTAGATTCGTTTATTCAAAAGATTTATCTCTTGAACCATGCATCCAAATCCTAAACTGTTTTCACCGTTGGAATTTTCGCGTCGACGTCTTGAAAACTAGATCTCATGTTAATAGGTTTTGACGAATTTTTTTCATGAACAAACAGAAAACTAGGAAAAAATGACAAAGAAACAATAAAAAGGGATAAAGAATGAAAAAAAAGGCAACCACAAAAATGAATGAAAAATGGAGCCAGAAGCAAGATAGCGGTTTTCCACCTTTTTTCCTTTCCGAGAAGCACAATGCTTCTTGTGGAAGCTAGGTTTTTTCCATTGAGAAGCACAACGCAAAAGCAAAATTATGCCTCCACGAGAAGTAAATCTGTATTTCTTGAGGAAGCACCGTTTTTTTTTCATCTGCGCTTCTCGTAGAAGTACGGATATTTTTCCTTTTCCGACAAGCACAGTTGTGCTTCTCACGGAAGCAAAGTTGTGCCTCCACAAGAAGCAACTATGTGCTTCTCGTGGAATCATAATTTTCTTTTCCACGCAAAAAATGTGCTCGCAATAGCACTTCTCCCAAACCTAGGAAAACCCGGGCGAAAACCAAAAAGGCAAAAAAACTCATCGAAATCCGAGACGGGTAAAAATAATAATAAATAAAAATCTAGAGAGAGTGTCCAACATATGGTATAAACGCACCACCTACATGCTCCAAAGCATCAAAAGTGACCCCTGAAGATCCCCCTCAAGGGGTAACACATAATTAGTTGCTCCCACCACATAGTCTAACAAGGAGATCTTATGAATGGCGCACCTATGTCTCACTTATAGCAAGACGCATGGTGCACTTGCATTACGAGCTTCCCTAAATGGGCCAGTCCATGCGAGGCAGGACACTAGCTCGTTTTTTCTGCTTTTATTTATTTTTTCCTTTTGTTTTATTTTTAATTTCAAATATTCTAAATATATACTATATTATAAAAATACATAAACATTTTAAAAATGTTAAGATAATTTTAATCAAGCATTTGAAAAATGCTAAATGTGTATACAAAAAATGTTTGTCCTGTATATGAAAAATATATAAGAAAAAGATATAATGTGTTTGAAAAAATATTGATCATGTCTTTAAACACTTTTAACCTGTATAAAAAAGTTTCTGATCTATAGGGAAAATGTAAAATGTATATTAAATAAAAGTGGACATAAAAAACCTATACTTTAGAAAAGTATATACTTATTTAACAAATGTTAATCATGTGTGTGTGTGTG